CGCCAAATTGGAATACACTTTGAGTTCGCCTGGGTTAATCACGTCTGTTGTAGATGAGGGCAATATAAACGATGTGGTGTAGTGGTAAAATGTTGAGATTATACACCTTACTATAAAAGTTATATTCCTGCTTAGAGTGATGATAAGAGCCAGGCGAGGTCGAAAGTGCGGTCCATTCTGGATGAGAATACCTTCCGGAAATCAAGAATAAGTGAAATTAAGTGGGATCATGAGGTCTACTCATAGCTGTGTAGGAAAGTTCTACTATCAGTTTTTATCACCTTATGTGACCTAGGGTAAATAAAACTCTGATAGTTCCGAATTATACTTTATATGAATCTAATTCTTATTTGTTTAAAAACAAAATGATTAATGAATACAGAAAATGTCCAGTGATTACCTGTGTCAAATCATAATTTTTTACAGAATGAGACAAAATAACTTAAATGGATTTCATTTACCATTGATATCGGTGAAATAATGGATGAAAACGTACAATACAGCCATTGCTAATACTTTTAGTGGCCTAATCAATACATGGTCTCCCTGAAAACAAGACCAAGTTGCGACAACGAGGTCAACCCACTTCTAATCAATAAAGTTTATCATATTTCCAGCTCACATTGTGATTGAAAAGTGATCTCTATTCGTCTATCCACGACTCCATACCAACAAATACTTCAAACACTGCTTTATAGCTAACTCACAATTCCCGAAACCTATGCGCCAGCTTGGTTGCAAACGAAAGTTTTAATACTATTTCAGATTATAGACCAAGAGTTCATGAGCTCAGCAAATAGCAGATTATTTCTCACCCTTCCTGCTTAATCATAGTTAAACAAGTTGCAATTCTGTGAATATACGGTTTGATATACTTATGCATAATCAAGAATGTTCCTCACAAATTTCTAGGCAACCAAGACACTCATGCATGAATGAGGTATAAAATAAGTTAAAAGGATAGTTTTAGATAGTATAACCTCCCCATTTTTAATGTCTGGTATGTGTTATCGAATCTCCCGTTTTTAGACAGAACGCATTTGATCTATAACGAATTTGAGTCTATCATATCCCAAAACCCAGTTTTTTCTTCATGGCATGTCCAAGTTACGTGACGCGACTTTATCTTCGGTTGCTTTTTTGGCTCTATCTTACTTTGTTTCAGATTTGATGCTAAGAGGCATCACTTCATTACTACAAATAACGAATGATTCATATAAATTACTTAGCCAACCATGAAATTATTGCAATTTGGTTAGGTTCCTCCAGGGGCATAAATTTGGCCATATATGACATAGATCAAATAGAATTAGATTAATTAAATAAAGTAGAGTAAATTAAATGTGTCAATAACATGTAAAACCCATCCTAAATTGACCAGAATTAATTCCTAAATCAGATAATTTAAGAGGCACTGACTTCCTAATCGAAAAGACTCAGCATACACTATTGCTTATTACTACAAAAGCAGAAAATAACCCATTATTAAGGTTCCGATCTAATTTCCGATTGAATTATAGTGTAATGAGAGAGATCTGGTTAAGAAGATAAGGGCACTTTTGGATCTGCTGGAAATTTTGGAAAAAGAAGAAGATATCCTGAAATCAGTGAAGATCTGGAAGGGGCGCCTAGCACGATTGCCAAACTATGAAATAACGATAATCTACTTTAAAGTCCATATACATAAGCAAAATTTGGGATTACCTATGATATCTCTACTCACATCTTTTATAAACGTCTACATAAATAAATTATAATAGGAATTCGAGACGTCATTGTTGCGACCAGGAATGCTAATGAGATAGATGGGTAGCTAGTTTACATTTTCGGCGAATAGAAAAGAAAGGTTAGAAGTATCAGTTTATGAACGAGCTTGACAAAAAAATTACATTTACAATCGAGGTTAGGCAGCAGAGGTAACTATCAGTCCTAGATACCGAAGTTCTTTACTGCAACAGGTAATTCAAGAGAAAATTATTCAGAAAGCATTCGCATACAGTAATAATACTAAATTTACAATCTCCTCACAAATATGGAATCAATATCGGAGCATAATTATCGGAAGCCTAAGAGTAATGGACACGAAGTTCAGTTCACATTATAAAGAATATTCGGGTATAAGAGTAGGGAAACTATCCTCCTATAACCAACGCCCTACAACAGAAGGTACAAAAAACAATCAAGGTAGTATGTTTGTACTGTTGGTTTACTAATGCCTCCTTGAAATTTATAAACACTTTAATTTTTCTTTCTAATATAATGTACGAATCCCTCTTAACTCGACTAATTCATAAAAGAGCAAACAAGTTTATCTATTTATCCAAAGTGTTAAACAATGCAATCATAGTCATCAGGTCGTGTTAATTTATCCTTAAACAATGGTCAATATATCTTTTTTTTATTAATAAAATGTAAAAGTAGAATAAAGGTGCAAAGACGGAGGCAAACTTATAAGCGTAATATAAATCAAAATTTTCAGATTAAAAATAATTCCGGTAGCCCAAGCCCTGCGAAAATGCTAGGCTTTTATTCAAGAATTCCTATAGATATATTCGTGATAATCAAAATAGATAAGTTCATCCGTTACAGAATTATGAGGTCCAAAAATATTGTTATAACAAGGATGATCAAAACAAAATTTTCCGCACAAGACTAGAAAGAAAGTGAAGGAAGAGCATAAAGACTGTCAAATTAAAAAGGTAGGTAATGATTACGATACATTCCAAATAAAAATAGTCCAGAAAGCATATACAACTATAGGAGAAGAGCGCACCTTGACAATAATAAAATGTCTAATATGCCTCAAGTAAATGATACTAATAAACTGGTCCTACCTTTTTAGAGTGTTGCTGAATGTCCGCCTGCGAAGTAGATGTGCCGACGATTGAATCTGCAACAATGCAATGTTGCTTGGCGTTCTCCTTCTTAGCCAACATAGCCCGCCTGGCACTACCTGGCCTACTAGTTCGTGCCGCGGCCCCATGACTCATATCCCCGACTTCACCGATTATGCTGCAAAATATACCAGAGCCACCAAATTCATCGAGTCCAATACCAACGCTACCTGGGCGCTTCGATGATCCTTCGCTAGCTCGACGAGGTTTTGAGAAGTCTTCGTTTGCTCGGAAGGTCCTGGAATTATCGTCAGCAATGCGTTTTCCCGATTCGAAATCGCTGTCAACCTCAGAATCTGGTCTAGCATCACATGTGTCTCCGAGAGTAAGCCTGCGAGGTATTGCTCTTGTGCTGCTTGTACCGATCACACTCTTGGTAGATTCGCGTCTCGATCCAAACTCGCCATAGCAGTCCACACCAGCTATATTTGAAGTATTTCCACCAGTTGCAGAAAATGCTTGAGAGGCGACTGGATAGTCCATGCCATAATTGGGGCCAGAGGCAACCCACGCGCCATTCATTAGAGAAGAACGGCGTCTTTCCCTAAAGCATAGATAAAATTTTATTATCAGACAAAAGTATGCAAAGCCTATTGATGAGGGTATTAACAGCAAGATCAAAGGAATGATATTAAATATATAATGATAAAAACAAAGAGGAGGTAAAAAAAGGACAGGTTTTATGATATTTAAATGAGGGAAAGGGAAGAAGGTATTATAGACACCCAAAAAGACAAGAACAGCTTGAAGTAGTTCAGAGAATAACGCTTACAAAAATAAAGCAATTTTACAAGGATATGAATATGGACTTAAGGAATGAGGAAGAATAAGACATTTAAAATAAGTAATATAATGGAATTTTTAGGACCAAGAGAATATCATTATTAGCTCTTAATAAATTATAGTATAGTCTATCTAGTAATTTGAGTTTGGGTTGCCAAACACTCTGAAAAATGGCAAGTATACTATTTTAGCTCAAGCATTAGCATGAATAATTTAGTGGTTTCCGTTAGGCTACAAAGAAATAAATGATATAAATCATTGATAAGTTCAGGTGAGTGGCATTTAGAATGCCTACTATGAATCAGAAAGAAATTATGAATAGTAAGAGTGGAGAAGAAACCAAAGGATTCAAAGACCACCAAAATAAGAAAGTGAAATAACAGGTACTGTTAATTATACTTTGCTTAAGAGCAAAACCTAATCGCCATTCGTCAATTTGTGGTGGCGCCAAAATAGTCATGCTCAAGGCAAGTTAAACGAAAATCACTTATTATTGTAGCCTGCATTGATACATTTATTTTCAGCCAAAATAGTCTAATTTTAACTTTGCCCAGGACAATCAGCTCCACAAGAGGGGAATAGGTAAATTAAGACTAGATAGATAATGAAAAGATGAGCAGTGCCCTAAAATAAAATTACACTCAAGACACAAATAATAGTCACATATAAATAAGT